CAACCAATGAAAACACACCTGCTGATTTTTTCTCAGAGCAAAAAATGGCTAAAAAAAACTGCGACACATTTGATTTCAACGTTTTTGAAGCGAATTTGATCATCAATTTCCCATCAATAATATCGCATCTGATTTGCTTTCATTTGGCGCTTCCCAGTAAATTTGATATAATATTCTTCTGTAAATCAACTTAAAAAATTTTGTTTCTACAATTACCCAAAAAGGCTGATGAGTTTTTGATATAATTCATTCAATTTTTTTACCTTGCAAAAAAAAAACAATTTCCCGGAGCGCGGATGAAACAAAAAATGTTCAATCAGGTAACCTAATTATAACGTATATCACTTTTGAACTTATTTTTGCCATGAAATCACTCGGTCATTTCACTTTAAAGTCGTCAAATTTGTTGCACCTAACAAAAAACCAATTAGTAACTTTCCCCAAAAAATTTTTGAATTTTTTTATTGTAGGGCGTAATTTGATTTTTTCGGTGAAAAGCAACAGATCCCAAATAATTGTAGTTTCATTTCATTCACAATTTGCGGATGGTTCTGAACGCTAAATCAGGCACCTTAAATAAATGAACAATAGCTCAATTGATACGCTTCATACAAAAGCCCTATTGGTGATTCTATCAATTTTAATTTTTACCCAAAAGTTGAAATTTTTGTAATGTTTTTTGTATATCTTTTCGACATGACTGGATTCATTTGCCTGCAGTAGGGTTGGTTTTTGCTTATTTTTACATTATTATAACTTTTGAAGAATGTGACGAACTGTTTATGCTAGGGTTGCTTTTTTGGTCAGTCAAGTTTCAATTTTTCAACTATAAATTTGTGGCAATGTTTTTTCATAAAAAGTTTTTTCATGAGCTCAAATTAAAACAAACTCTTTGCCTGTTTACTTTTTTTGTAAAACCATGGGTTTGAAAACTGCTAAGATGGAGTAATTAACGACCGATACAATTCGTTCCTATAACTCCCTTAAGATGCAATTTAAACACAGGTAAAGCTGAGCTTCAAACCACTAACGATACAAATTTGATTAAAATAAAACGGAACAATTTGAAAAAAAAAGTCAAAAACTCGTTTTTATCAAAAAAAAAATTGTCATAAAAACTGCGATCTCAAGCAGTTGTGTCACCTCTACGCCAGATGCGCCGGATGTTTGATTGAATTTGAATTTATAATTACCATGTGGTAGCAAAGCCAAAAGAACATGAGCAGAAACCTTCCATGCCGAAAAAAGATTCATAAAAATTTCTGAACTTAAAAAAAAATTTGTCCGTTTTCCCCTCAGAGCTCACGCACGTACATAATTTTTTTTCGATCCCCGAACGACGCAATAATATACCCTTAGTTCGATAGAAAATAAGCCGAAACTTATTGAGCCGATAACAAAGACAAAATGAAAAAAAATTGACAAATCGCGTTGGTAAAATTACAATCAGTATTATATTGAAAACAAATTTCAATTCCTCCGGATTTTTGAAATGTGAAAAACTTAAAGCAATTACAGTGAAAATGTTTACATTAAAAAGAAAACGATTCTGAGATCTGGCAAGTAAGCTGCCGAAACATAAGCACACAAATAATAGGCCTATTTTTTTAAACCGGAATAGTTAGCGTTAAGAACCAAGTCCTCATCAGATTCGTTCTCGAGACCTTTGACGTCCAATGCGTATTCGTTACCTCCAGGCTAAGTGTGCAGGAGACACTAAGAAACTTGAATTCAATGAAAACCAAGGTACTAAGTCTAGATGAGTCCAGTGGACAAAGTTGTTAACGGGAAAAAAGTCTAGTGCCCGATTGCAATACACTTGCTTATCGCAAGGGGTAATCATTCCGTAATGAACTGAGGCCAGCACTTTCATATTGCTAATACGACAGGAGACTGAATATATGGAGTCCAGGATCGCAAAACCTGGGAAAATTCTGACAATGTCCTACTATTGGGTTTTTAATTTCAAACTTGATGAAAGAAACACTGAATTCAAATTGGAAAATCGAAAATTAACCCTTAATAATTGCAATACACGATATAGCTTAAACGTGAAAAATTCTTTTGTTAAGCATGCAAAAATATTACGTTGAAAAAGCTTTAACATGGCGAGATAGTGAAGCCCGCATTTAAATATATAATAGATGAAAGTTGAAAAATTAGGCTACGGGTAGACAGACAATCAAATTAATTTTAAAAAGCAGGTATACAGACAGACTTAATTTGGCCTCGAAAAAAATACTAAAAAAATTAATGACCTTGCGGAAAAAACGATTTAAAAATTTTCTTAAGCATTGAAATATATGATGTAGCTTAAACATGAAAAAATTGTTTCGCTTAACATGAAAATTTATTATGCTTAAGCATGGGAGATAGCTGTCTCTCGGATTTAAATTTAGTATAGATAGATAGATAGATTATATATATTTCTTTTCCGTGGAAAATCATGTACTTGTAAAGTCTAGTGCCCGATTGCAATACCCTTGCTTATCGCAAGGGTAATCATTCCGTAATGAACTGAGGCCAGCACTTTGATATTGCTAATACGACAGGAGACTGAATATATGGAGGCCAGAATCGCAAAACCTGGGAAAATTCTAACAATGTCGTACTTTTGGGTTTTTAATTTCAAACCTGATGAAAGAAACACTAAATTCAAATTGGAAAATCGAAAATTAACCCTTAACAATTGCAATACACGATATAGCTTAAACGTGAAAAATTCTTTTGTTAAGCATGCAAAAATATTACGTTGAAAAAGCTTTAACATGGCGAGATAGTGAAGCCCGCATTTAATTATATAATAGATGAAAGTTGAAAAATTAGGCTACGGGTAGACAGACAATCAAATTAATTTTAAAAAGCAGGTATACAGACAGACTTAATTTGGCCTCGAAAAAAATACTGATGATCTTGCGGAAAAACGATTTAAAAATTTTTTTAAGCATTGAAATATATGATATAGCTTAAACATGAAAAAATTGTTTCGTTTAACATGAAAAATTATTATGCTTAAGCAAGGGAGATAGCTGTCTCTCGGATTTAAATTTAGTATAGATAGATAGATAGATTATATATATTTCTTTTCCGTGGAAAATCATGTACTATATAAAATCGTTGTAATGGGAAGGTGAAGTTATTTTAGGTTGATTCGAACAATTTTAACTGAAAGCTGGAGAGACCTGTTAGATTATTTTAATATTGATTATTTTAAAATTGTTTTAAAATTTCAGGTTTCTCAAGTCGATAGCGCCCTTCCTACGCAAAAAAAGTGAAAGAGAAGCTTATGCATTCATTGGTAACGCTTTGGTAAAAAGTTTTAATGAGGGAACTTTTCAAGTCCATAGGTGTTTCCCTAGACAATAGGGGCCCAGCTGGAAGCTGGAGAGACCTGTTTGGTTATTTCAGAAAAAACGTTATATGACTATAATATGTTGACTATAACTGACATCACAAAAACGTTCTGGAACAAACCGACCTGATTAAAGAGAACTAGCGTAACTCGTGCAACTTCTCGTTGGACTTCTTCGAACCATACAAAAAAACTCAACACAAAGCCAATAGCACCAAGCAAAAGCGAGAAAACGTAAGCATAGCGGATTCCATTGTCTAAAAAATACACACAATAAGTATATTGAACCTTTGTTCCAATGCCAAAAAACTTTTAAAAAAACTTTTCCTAAGTGTACAGCTCTTCCCCGAGACAAATTAAGGACCAACCGCTTGGGCAGGGGAGTTTCCTACAACCTGGTCTATCGATTAAACCCTTAATCCCAAATCTGGATGGGTAGTTTTTGAAGAAATCGAAAAAGTTTGAAAAAATGGCCTAAAAACCGAAAAATTGACTATTCCTAAGTGTATAGCTCTTTTCTCAGACAAATTAGGGACGAGCCGTTTGTGTAGGGGAGTTTCCTACAACCTGGTCTATCGATTAAACCCTTAATCCCAAATCTGGATGGGTAGTTTTTGAAGAAATCGAAAAAGTTTGAAAAAATGGCCTAAAAACCGAAAAATTGACTATTCCTAAGTGTATAGCTCTTCCCCTAGACAAATTAGGGACAAGCCGTTTGTGTAGGGGGGGTTCCTACAACCTGGTCTATCGATTAAACCCTTAATCCCAAATCTGGACGGGTAGTTTTTGAGGAAATCGGAAAGATTTGAAAAAAGGCCAAAAAAGTGACTTTTCCTAAGTTTATAGTTCTTCCCCTAGGCAAGTTAAGGACCAGCCGCTTGTGCGGGGGAGTTTCCTACAACCTGGTCTATCGATTAAACCCTTAATTCCAAATCTGGATGGGTAGTTTTTGAGGGAATCGATAATTTCCGAAAAAATAGGCAAAAAAATCAAAAAAGTGACTTTTCCTAAGTCTATAGCTCTTCCCCTAAGCAAATTAGGGACCAGCCGCTTGTGCAGGGAGTTTCCTACAACCTGGTCTATCGACTAAACCCTTAATCCTGAATCTGGACGGGTAGTTTTTGAGGAAATCGAAAATTTCCGAAAAAATGGGCAAAAAGTGAAAAAAGTAACGAGTTGTGAAGCTTTTCTAAGACCGTAGGGGGTAGGGTAAAAATTGCCCTAAATTTCATGCAGGCAGGTAGGTGAAACGCTACTGAATCCATTGGTACCACTTTTATGAGAATCTGACGGGTAGTTTTTTGGGAAAGCGAATTTTTCGAAAAAGCGTCTCAAAAAAAAAAAAAAACCAGATCTCATCTGGAAAAAAAAAACGTTTTCATGATACCTGTTTAATAAATCAAACAGGAATTGAAGAAAAACAATTTGAAATTCTGATTTCTAGTCTAATTTCGAGCAGCAGTCTCAATTTAGCAGCCTTCAAAATCTTATATAAGCAGTGAAATTTAATTTCACTCCAAGGCATTCAAAATTTCAGCTACCGTTGTTCTGAGTTACCTTTTAGTACCGCTCCCAAAATACTGTTCTATGATATTTCAAGCGGGCAATGAAATTAACCCGCTTCACTAGCTCTGATCAAGAAAAGAGATTTTTTCGACAACTTTATTAAGTACTTTTACTTTGAATAAACGGGTGAAATATTTTTTTACAATAAAACTTAACAGATCATATCGGGTGAGTAACTTATTTGGGTTTCTAATTACGTGTAAACACTATTAGTTAGCACTAACACAAACCAACCAGAATATTGTAATAATTATTAACTAATTAGCAGAGGGTAGATTTAATGAAATTGTGAATAATAAGCTTGCGCTGATTAATTATCAACTAATACGCAGAGCATACACTCTAACTATGTTTACAACTAAACTCTATAACGACCGCTTAACCATTTAAATCAAAAAACCATGTCCACTATCAAGATGTTTCAAATATGGATTGCGAATCAGAACATATTATCATTCTTTGCTTAAGTACTCCGTGATAGATGAACAATTTGAAAAAGTTCTGATCCAGGTACTACATCATATGCTTTATAGATCGACTGCATTCATTTTCTACTCTTTAGAAAAGAGCACCGATTTTGGGGAAATTTTATAAATAATCGAGTCCAAAGATGGCGGGTATAAGCTGTATTTAACGCTGCATCCCGATTTGTATGAGAAACTTGTCATAATTTAGTAAACGAAGTTTGAAAAATAGCACAAATTCAGATAAATTCTCTTAGAAAATGATCACTGCACGACGTAATTGTATTCTTTAAGTTGGAAGTTTTCAGCTATCTAATTCAAATTGATTCTGTTCAAAACTCAGTAGAAACGGGTGTATTGTATATCACTTCAAAATAGAGCTCTCTTGGTAGCAAAACTGATTCGACAAAATGTGGAAACATCAAAAAGTTGGCGTCTTTGGTTTTGATCACGTTTAAAGTGTTGTACAAGAAGTTTAGTAACAAATTCGCAAGTCTTGTATAGATAGGTATAGAGAAGGTTACGACGTTACTTATATTTGTTTGGTATGAATGAATGGCAAATTGTTTGTGATTACTTCATTCCGATCAAAGTCAAAATAAACATCCGTATCAAATCTTAGAACTTTCTGTAACAAAAGCGCGAAAACGAAAATAGAAATCTAAGTATTCAAAATTGCACTGAGAAGAACATCAAATTAATTTCCTTACATCTATATTTCTGAGCAGGTCAAATTACTTCACAAAATTACTTCACAAACAGTAAATCAGTAAGCGGTCAATCGTATTACTACTGTATACACTAACACAAACTTCTATTTGACGACTTTTGCCAGAGGTCTTAATAATAACTCAAAGTTTATTTTAAAATATGTCAAAAGCCATCAGTTGAGTCAATCAATATAAATTTCAAAAAATGAGGTAAGGTAATTCATAAATATAATATAATGAAGTGCATCTAATAGTATGTATTCATTCGTTAACTATTTTATCAAATATAGATCTTTCTCGAAAACTCTTTACGGAAACTAATTTAATGAGCAAATTAAGTTACTCGTGGAAAATTATGGCTTCAATTGTAAATATTGGACATTAACTATAGGGTACACTAAGTGTACACATTGCTGTAATTCGGCAAATAGTATAATAATTCCGGCCATCAAATCATGTAAACTAATTATAAAAGCGTCATTGTTTCTAGGGTTTTACCCTTAAAGAAGAAACCATTTAGTGCAACAATATGATATAACACATGCTGTAGAGATAGGATAGATGGACAACTTTTTAAATCTAAACATGAGCAGAACTAAGAACCGATTTCGTTTATTTTGTTTCAGTATACAGTAACACACTAGAACTAAATTAACATAAATTGGTCGAATTGTAAAAACTTAAGAAAACTAAGTGAAGGTTAGAGAAATAGCAACAACTAATTCAGAATTTGTATACATTCAACAAAATATATATACATGACATTCGTAAAATGATTGCAATGCGACTTTTATCACAGGACAAAAATCATCTAATACACGACTCCAGGCCACAAAAAAAACACATTATCTGACTTGCATCACGATTTGCAATTTGACATGAAATGAAATACTAGGATTTACATTTGAATGAAATGAAACTAATTGCGATGATATTCACGCCTTTGGCAATATTATATCCGAGTTTTCACAACTTCGTCAAAGTTCAATCATGCAGTGAACGTGAACAATCAATAACTTCCTTCCAACTTCAAGCTTCGTTTTCTTCACTGCTCCACAAATAGATCCCGCACCCACTTAGATTTCTGCTGTTGGTTTTACCCTCTAATTTCCCATTCTTTAGTGTGTTCACTGCTGTTGCTGGTTTGTCACTTAACCCCATCGAGCGTGTGAAGGATTTCCAGGCTGGTAAGCATTCGCCCCTCCACCTCCCCCTCCCGCTCCACCGCCACCTCGACTCCTCTCGCCACCCTCTTTGACCAGAGGTTTGTGATACTCCCTTCCCTGTCTGGAATGGATCTGACTCCAGCACTGGTCGCAGTAGTATTGTAGACACATCACATTGGCGCAGAAGTAGGGCGCGTATTTTCCGTTGCATCTATTTCCGTGACATTCATCACACATTTGGTCGTCCAGCACATAGGGCTTCACCTCAACCTGAGACAAAATATTACTGCTATTTACATTCAACAAAATCACATGAAAGTTTCTCAAACAATTAAATCATATTTCCGACAAACTGTGTCTAAATTAGGATTTCCACTAGCTTTGACTTTGAATAACAATTTCAAAAGAAAATATTAGTGAATTCATGCATTCCTGATTTCTGCAAACCTGTTGACTTCCAATTCAACGCAATGAGGAATTTTTCATCTATTTTGTCGGGACACTTACTCGCTTGTCTATGTCTCCGTGCTGCAGCTGTACGAATCTAGCGCTGATTGCAGCAATGTAGCTCTGCTGGTTTGCAAATGCCACTCTCCCAGCACCCTTAGGGTACTTCAATTCAGGGTCAGTGTCGATGCCAGCGTAGCACACGCCACCATACAACCTGTCCATGATACGCGCAAGCTCCTCTGGAAAAATAACACATTTCATGAACTCATTTGATCTTCCATTTTGACCAATAAATCGGACACTTTCAAAACAGAAAGCAATCGCCTACAATAAACATAATCAACAGACAGTTCATAAAAAACGTCCATGAGCAAGGAAACCGGAAAAAATGATTCTTTTAAAAGAATTTTCAGCTTTTTATTTTTGGCCAATAGGTTAATTTTTTTGCTGCGGGAAATTTAAAAATTTAAATCAATATTCAAAACACGAAGTCAGTCTCCTTTTCGCGCCATTTGGATTTTCATTAATGGGGGGGGGGGATAAAACTGGCCTTCTTTATACCAAATAAATATGAATCGAACTTAAAAAAGAATCAAAAACGAAACCTCGCAAAATCAATATAGAGCGTAATCCAATTGTGAGGCTTCCTGAAAAAAAACCCATGCGATCTAAAATAAGTGTCTTCGTCTCGTCAATTGATAATAATTACGAAACGGACAGCTTAAAAAGCGCAACTCTGTTTGAATCTAGGGCCATTGTTTCTTTAAAAAGAACTTAATCATCATGTTCTCTAAGCTTACCATGATGATTTCTAATTCATTGCGTTAGAGCATCCGAAACCAAAATATCAGTGATAACTTACGTGCTTTCAGCGGTCTGGGCACTCCCCCCACGAAAATAGTTTTCCTCGGGTCTAAAGGCTGAGACCCATCCATGACATAGTCACTGTCTGCGAGGTTCCATGGCCGGATTTGCACCTTGAAAAACAAAATGTGATGTACCCGTAAAACTTGCACTATTCGTCGTTCAGTCACTATTCCTTCATTGAATTTTTAACCCATGGCTTAATCGCAAACGTAAACTTACATTTCATGTTCTTATTTGAAAGTTAATGCCAAATTGTTGGCAATATCGGTGACCTTGAGCAATTTAATTGGTCAAAAACTTAAGTATTTAGGACTAAATAGGTTTTTGAAAATTGTTTTTACGTGTAAAAACTAGTGATACACTGAAATCCGACGTCAAATGAGCAGTTAATAAAGCAATATAAAGCAATAACTCCCTTTAGATTCGTTGACCGAAAAGGATATTTCCAACAATTTGGCATTAAATGTAGAATTTTGAACGTTTGCAGAATACTCGTTCAGTTGAAATTAAAAAAAAAAACACTTATCTATTCGTTATGGTTTTACACTCACTGCTTTGTCTTTAATAGTGGGCGAAGACACACAAATGTAGAGTTTGCCATCATCCTTCACAGATTGATCGATCAGCGCCTGCACGCTAGCTTCCTCTTGGAACAGCAAGAAAGCGTACCCTAAAATACACCAGAAATTCACATGAATGAAGCTTGTTTTTTTTCGGTATCATGCTTCAAATGGAATTATGAATATTCACCTTTTGGCGGGAAGTAGCTCTTACTTTCCGCCTTGTGAGGCCAATCGACAACCAGAGGACCAAATCTGCGAAACGTCTGCGTAATTTCGTCTAAAATATTCAAAAATTAATGCGTTATCTGCTAGGTTTATTAGGAGGCCACTTAGTATTTATTTCTTGCAGAACGAAGTTCGATAAAAGATGAACCGCGACTTGTCCGCTTAAGAAAACATTTACAGCCCATTATTCGGTCGACTCTTTGGACCTAAATTTAGAGGATCAATTACCTTCATCGATATCCGGCGGCAAGCCTCCAACAAACACTTTCCTCGAAAACCTCTCGGGACATTGTCCTTGTCTGCCCATATGTCCCATCGCGCTCATCTGGTTTGCCATCATAGGATCATTCGGATTGTAATGTCCAGCTGCAACTGCTCCCAAACTGTCGTCCAAATCATTCGCATCCAGAAAGAAAGGATGGTTGCGTCCTAAAAATTTCTATTGTCCTCAAACATACTTTAAAACTAAAATTGCAAACTGCGAATTTAACAGAAGCTGAGAAGGATGTTAATTTTATTCTCTTGAGAAAGTTAAGACACGAAAATTTAGGGAAGCTACAAATCTCGTAATTGGATTTAATGAATCATTTAGACTGACTGCCAGGAAAAGGAAAACAGTTTAAGAATAGTCATTGTCTATTATATTAGTGATCAGTTCTTCTTCAAACCTCTTCTGCGATAAGATTGGCGATCTATAAACCGAATAGACACAGATCATTACTACTAACAAGGATAGCCGGTTTCTGTGCAATTAGCAGAGAATGTTCCGACCATATTCATAAAAACACGGATAGCCGGTTACTGTGCAAGTAGCACAGAATGTTCCGACCATAGTCTTTAAAAACTACAAAAAAGAAAAACTAGCGCAAAAAAACTCGAAAACCTAATTTTACTTGCTTAAAACTAAATATCTAGGTCTTACATACAGCATAAGCTATTGTAAAGCCTGCTCGCTCGCTTTATTCGCTCAAAATTGAAATAAAATCAAAAATTTTAAACCAGTTTTTCTCGACATTGAGAAAACATTTTGAAGATTTTTAATGCCGTTTTAATATCACGACTGAAAGGGCTTCACTTTGATACATCACTCAACCTATTCAGATTATTTTTGTGGTACTTCATTTTGCGTGGAAAACAAAAAAGAAAAAAACTGAAACAAAAGAATACTAAGTTTCTCTACATTTTTCAAATGGTCGGAACTAGAAAAAAAAAAGGTTTTTTCTTTTATTTTCTTCAAATTAGTGTCGTTTTTAGTGCGTGGTGTGATTCCAACACTATAAAATTGTATTAAAACATGAAGAATTAGACGAGATCAACAACAAAATTAGTTTCATTCATAACAATTCTTTAAAAAGTAATCAATTTCCCTATAACGAACGTTACTCGATCGCGTTACTCGCTCAAAGTTAGACGAAAAACTTCAAACCGGTTTTTCTCAACACTGAAACAAACACTGTATACCTTTGACGCTTTTCATGACTTTAACATGATATATCACTCAACTCATTCCGATGATTATTTGTGGTACCTGATTTTGCGTTAAACAAAAAAATCTCAACACCCGATGGTCGGAACAACAATATTGTGTACCCTGGTAGAATGGGGCTGCTGCACGCAATCCCAAATAAGCTTAAGTGATCATAGTAAACTTAGAGAAAAACTACGTACGGGGCCGCATGTCAGGTTGCATCTCATTGCGCATGATGTCCAACAAGCTGCTCTCCAATTGTCCAAACCGCATAGGATCAAAGCCGGGGTGACGAGCATCCTGATGAAAAAACGATATCAGATATCATGTAATGCTAAATATTTCGTATCACACTTAGGTTGAGTAACTCAAGAACTAACCCCTCGCTTCTGTAGTTGATTCCACGGTGACGGCGTCAAAGCATTCCACGGTGTCTGGTTATTGTTTGCCCATCCATTAGACTGTCCAAAATTTTTCATCGGGTACATGTTTGGTGCCTGTCTAGGAGGAAACGACGGGTTATAAACAGAGCCGGCAGGAGATCGTCTATTTGGCGGGTTCAACGCCAAGTGCGGCGGCGGCAAATTCATAAAGTTTTGGTTAAAAACCGCGTTGAGAGATTGGGCAGTCGGAGCGGCCATATTAGGAGGAAATGATGGAAAATTCCCGTTCATTGAAGGTGGAGCAAAGTTATAGAAATCTTCAGTAGGAGCAGATGGAGGCTGCGAATTGGACCAGAAAGGCGGCTGAGCTCCCATTTGAGGGCCATTGTTCATTCCAGCTGACATTTGCGGCATGTTGAAATCGGGCGGAAACATCTGCGCGAACGGCATATTCTGTTCCGGCATATCAAACATTGGCTTCTGCATCATCGGAGGCTGTTGCTGTGGCTGCTGTTGCGGCGGCGCTTGAGAGACATCGCCATTTATAGCAAAATCGTTAGTCTGGTCAATTATCGGTTTGACTCCACCATTGATTTCATCTGCCTGGTTCAAATTATCTACATTCTGCACATCATTCAAACTGCCCGTGACGTTCGCAGAAATTCCATTCATCGGGTGCTTTGGAATATCAACTTGCTGCTGGTTTTGTGGTGGAAATTGAGACTCTTCCGGAATAACCATTGTTAGGATTACAGGTTATGATAATTCACGCAGTTAGAAGGGAATAAATAAAATTATCAAAAGGTAATTAATAATTCTATAAAAACGCCTGCGAAAAATTAGCACCTGATACAAAACTAATCAAAAAATCAATAGAAAAGTTGCTGTTCAAAACCAGCGAAATTTGAAGAGTAAAAAGTTCAATTCAGAGGAATATAATCCAAACATGCTCATTAAGGTATGAGTCATCCAGCGAAACCTGTGAACAATTCGAATTTTTCAGAATTTTAAAAAACAAGAACTCAATAACTCTTCATCCCCAGGAAATTGACACAAATTAAAGCACAAGTCAAAGACAGAACAAAAGACAATTTGCAGACCAGGATACTCAGTATCCGGTCGAGCAAAAAATGTACACGAACAGTTCAGAAACTATCTAGACGAGCTCTTGACAATTTGCACCAGTTTCTTGGGTCAACAATTAGGATACTAACTCGATGAGTTGTTTTCAAAAAATATGATGTGTTTGATGTATGCACATGCTGATTATGAAACTCTAAGCTAAGTAATTTTAATTTACAATTCAAAAAAAAGAAAAAAACACGGATCTTACCTTTAGTTAATTATGCAAATGCCGGTTATGCCATGGAAATATCGAAAAAGATTTTCATATCAAATCGTGCCCAGTTTAGCAAAGCTCATAGATAAAATCAAAACTGTCTATTAAAGAAAAGTTATAAATTATTTGCTCCTTAATTCGCATATAAATCTTTGTTCAAATTAATTTTTTTTCAAGTATATCCCGGGTGTAGATTTTTTGTCCCCACGAAAAAAAAAACTAAGCGGTGCACCACCAGACTCTTCAAGATTTGTTATGTTTGATGTTTGTGCCTGTTTGTGGAGCGCCCTCTGAGGGATTTTAGAGACAGGTCTGTCAAGTGGCTTTCTGTGGGGAGGTGGGAAACTGGAACTGGCTTGAAGAGTCTGGTGGTGCACCGCTGGACCTACTGAGCTTGGGTGAGATTGTTCCTTGTTTTTGATTTTTATAATTCGATTTTAAAAATTAAATTAATCTAATTGTCTTTTATTTTTTTTATTTGCTGATTTATAAAATTCCCACTAACCGCTGGGTTAGTTCAGTCCCCTAAAGTCCAGTCAAAATTCTTTTTTTCACCTTTATGCTGCGTCAAGATGAGGAAAAACCACAAAGAGTGTACAAGCAAAGATTGCTTAAAACCTTCAGGACTGATAAATTGGATTGATGTCATTGTTGTTCTAGTTGGTATCATATCAGTTGTGCGAATATTTCTCTTAGCGACTCTGAGAAAACCCAATGGTTTCAGTGTGCTTTATGCGTTGAAGTAAAATCTGTTAATATAGCAACAATAGGTAATGATTTAGTGCCAGACAATTATGTTGATACAACCATCTCAAATGTCCGAGTACTCAAGAGTGTACCAAAAGACTCGCGTCTTCCCTTGGCGGAAAGTCTGTCGGAAAAAATAAATGACATTTTCTACAATGTAGAAGATGTCACAAAATGGCTAATTTTTTTAATGTCGTTCTCGTTTTTTTTTTTGGAGCAACCGAAAAGAAGTGGACGCAAACAGACCACAAGCATGAGCTCTTTGAAATGAAAAAATTCGATCAAATGACGTGTCACTTCCAAAACCCCATCCCCAAGTTTCAAGCCTGCCTCTGTGTGACCTCGAGCAGAGAATAAAGCTAATAAGTAGTAAGCTCGACGAAGGAAATGTAAAGGGAGGAATAAGGCTTGCTGCTTCGGATGACAAATTTGCTCCTTTTTCAACTGATAACTATCAAAAATTGTTGTCTAAGCAACCTCAGCGAGCCAAATTTGCAGCTCCAAATCCACAAAATTTTTCGTAACCGAGTTCGACCTATACAAAGCGATAATGTCCTTTCCGAACGGATCAGCAGCAGGTCCTGAAAAAATAGTTCCACAAATTTTTAAAGATCTTGTTAGTAAGTCGAATGGCAGTGCAGGGCTTAATTTTCTGAAATCGCTTACTAAGCTGATAAACATCATTGGAGATCGCAAACTACCGGAACCCCTAAGACCTTTCTTTTTTGGCGCAAAGCTTATCGCCCTCACAAAGGTAGACGGAGGGTTGAGACCGATTGCCATAGGCAACACGCTGAGACGTATCGCGTCTAAATGCGCTGGAAGCAAGGCCCTCTCCGAGCGACAAAATTGTTTCGGAAACGTACAGGTAGGATACGGTACCAAACAAGGAGCAGAAATAGCTGCGCTATCGTTTCGAAACCTAATTGAACGCGACGACAATCCAAAATGCACTGTTCTTTTACAAAAATATTTTAAGAATGCCTTTAACTCTCTAAATAGAGAAACAATGCTGAATCATGTTTATTCAAATCGCCCCGAATTGTATAATTACACCCATTGCGCGTATGGTAAATTTAGTTACCTTTTTTACGGAAGCTCTGTCATAATGTCAGAAGACGGATTTCAGCAAGGTGATCCTGAAGCCCCACCCCTTTTTGCGGAATAAATTCATACACTAGTCAAACAGTTGGAGTCGAAAATTAACACCTGGTATTTAGATGATGGAAATGTAGCCGACGACTATAAGTTAGTACTCCGGGACCTTAAAAACATTCTGAAATCGGAACAAAATTACGGCCTGAGCTTGAACACTGAGAAGTGCGAACTTTGTTTTTTGGAACCGACTACAAGTACACAGTATAATTCAATTTTAACCCAATTTCGAAAAATATGCCGCAAAATAAAAATAAAAACATAAGAAGAACTCCTCATTTTAGGATCTCCAATCGGCGAACTTTGCCGAAAAGAATAACTCGACGAAAAAATTCAGGAGCTTGAAAAAATCTAGACGCCCAAATCTAGACGCCCAAAATCTAGACAAACTAGAGGCACATTATGGTTTTTACCTCCTGAAAGAAGCTTTAGCATGCCAAAACTCCTATATTTTTTGCGTACGAGCCCTTGTTTTTTGCAAAATGATTTTTTGGAACGCTAAGACAAATGTTTTTTAGAAATTCGTTATGCAAGGTCACTAACATGAAAATGGATGATAAACAGTTTTTACAAGCAGTTCTCCCGGCAGCCAAAGGTGGCTTCGGCGTTTCTTCCGCTCGTCTACTCGCTTTACCCGCTTTCTTAGCCTCAGCAGTAGGAGCGAAAGATGCCATGAGCCAAATCTTTGGTTTGGAGCATGTGGATAAAACCTATGATGATGCCTTAAACGGTGGTTTGAACTTGGAAAATTTGAAATGGCCCCGGAAAATGAAATCCAAAAAAATTGGACGGAGCCAATTTTTGACAGCAAAGTTGCTTGATTTTACGACTCGAACCAACGGAGGTAAAAAGATTCAACGCGTTCCAAGATAGATTTGGCTCCCAATGGTTGAACGTCATCCCGTGCAAAAATTGAAGGTTAAAACTGTCGAAACAACAACTCAGAATTGCGATAGGACTTCGATTAGGCTCAAAAATCTGCGAACGGCATAAATGCGTGCGCGAAAAGACGTTACCGAGGATGGTTGGCATGGTCTTTTTTGCCTCAAAAGTGAAGGGAGATTCTCTAGACATTCAAACCTGAATGCCCTTATAAAGCAGAGTTTATCCTCTACTAACATTCCGTCTGTTTTAGAACCACGACACCTCTACAGGACCGATCAGAAGCGACCAGACGGTTTGACGACCGTTCCATGGGCTGTTGGTAAGCAGCTCTTGTGGGATGTAACGGTAGTAGACTCCTTAGCTCCTTGTAGGATTAAAGCCGGGTCTGTTTGTAACCCTGGTACGGCTGCTCTTGAAGCGGAAGAGCGAAAAATTGACAAGTATAAAGATCTTGTAAATGATGGATATCTTTTTCAACCGCTAGTTTTCGAAATTCAGGGCGCGTCGAGTTGCGTGTTCTTTTTGAAGAAACGTAACCCGTATCGATTTTAATTGAAAAGGACTTAAATACTTGTCATCTTCTTTTATTATTATCACTTCCATATCTAGAAAATTCCAAGGACTACTGATGTAACCTCGGTTACTATGATACTTTTGACCTTCTGATTACAGCCATGATTTAGCAAAAATTGATTGAATCTCAACTATCAAATAACCATAAAGGGCTGATTGAAACAAAGACAAAATCCAGCGACGCGCTGATACCAAGCAAAACGACGGAAGAAACTAAACGAATCCAAAAATCAAAAAAAGGAAAAATTGTCATATCAGCCGATAACTTGGCGCAGGCATATCGAAAGTGTGCTTCCGAGATTCTGAATCATTTCCCCACAACAATAAAACAGAAGATGATAAAAATTGACAAGTATAAAGACTTAATAGATGATGGGTATAATTTTTAACCTTTTGAGATTCAGGGCGCTGTACAAAAAACGTAACGTTCGCCTACTTAAGTCACATATGAGGTTTAAAAAAATAGGGATACCATTGGCTCAATAGTCAGGGACACTATCTCTTGTGTTTTTCTACCTCAATCGGTCGGAGCCAATTCGGTTCACTTGTGACATGAGACTAAAACCCGCGTTATTGCTTAAAGGCCACTACCAAGATACCCCCCCTCTCTAGAAAATAAGAACGCCCCCATACTCAGGTCTCAAAATACCCAAAATACGCGAACGACGTTAAAAACAGGGTCGGAACCTTATGTATAGTTACTTTTTATTAGACAGTGGACCTTTGATCCCTTCCAGATGGATCAACCTAAAAACTCTCCCTAACTCAAAATAACAATATAAAACACACGCAAGAAAATAATATTAGGTACTCACATACCGACACGACCTCTAGAACCGAGCAACAGAATCATAAATCAACTCTAAAATTGATTGGGTAATTAAGTTTAACTCGAGAAGGTTGAAATAATCAAGTTTTAACTCAAGTTTTCACTCTGGTTCAATCTAATTTTTTTTCTCCACGAGCGATCACTTTCCGTCTTCTGCCAAGAATGTGACAGCTCTACTCTTGCTCGAATTATGTATTGAAAATTGCGAATAGCAATTTCCCGCAGCTATTTTTGACTACTTTCCCGCGATTGTAGTTCGAATATTCTGATCCTATTTTTCTGATATTTTCAGTTGTTGCGAGGAACTTGAGCATGGCATGCTCAATTCGAGTTTTTGAAAAATTGCATTTCACCCCAAAATCAAGACTAAACGTTTTCTCAAGGTCAAACTTCCAAGTATGACCGA